GTGTGTTATTGTTCTGTACTTTGACAGTCAATTTAAATTAAAAAAATGATCAAAACAGATATTTTTTATAACCATTAAAACGATCATAGATAGCTTTTCAATAAAGATTATCACACTGTATCACAACACATGAAATTTGAAATAAGCTAATATTAGAAATACATCATGATATAATTAAACCGTATGATTTGTAACAACAATTTGTAACAACAATTTTACTGGAGGAATAATAGTGGAATTAATCTAAAATGAGTTCTATTAATTTGAATGTATCAAATGCAGAACAAATTCTTTTATTGTTAGAGGAATTGTGTTATCTTTCTTATCCTCAAGTGCAACAAAAGTTAAACAAATATGTAAGTATATTATTGTTTTTACGTGCATAATTTCTCGTGATACATGTGTTTCTTTTTAAAAGAATTGTAATTTTTTATTAGTAATAAATTTTAACGATGAAAAGATCTTTTTTCTATAGAAATTTCTTTTTTGAATACAAATGTTTTTTTTATCTGTTATAATGAATTATAATATAAATTATATTATATAATTATATTATACAAAATATCATTGTGATACAAAAAAATGTCTATAGCCATAAATATTAATTTAATTACGTTTTTCTATGTTATAGATACAAACTGCAACAAATACGAAATTATCTTTTCTGATACCAATTTTAGTCAAAACAGAGGAAATGGTAATCCATGTTATAGGAGAAAAAATTTTAGATAGAGAATTAAGATTTCCTGTAAGTAAGAACTATTTAATACAAATGATAATATATTGTTTACTCTTAATTTAAAATTAATATTATAAGTATAATTATGATAAATAAGAAATAAGATCTACATTTTTTTAATTGACCTTAATAAGTTTTTATATTTCTTAATATTTGATGTTTAAAATAAAATTTGTGCCTTGAAAAAAACATTTCATTAAGTTTAAATTGGAGATAATAGGTAATTCAAAAATTGTCCTACATTACAAATAAAGATTGCTTAGCAGTGTCTAATCCTTAAATAGAATTCTTAGAAATGTACATAAAAGAAGCCATACAAGAAAGTATTATCGATATGGTAAAACATTTACACAGAGATTATCATTATTACTTTTCTAATCAAGATTATTATCTGTACATTCATAAAGTTCATTTTATCATTTATTTAGAAATTAAATCATTATAATTTTTCTTTCAATAAAATGTAATTAATGTAATTGTATGGTAAACTATGTACAATAAAAATATAGAATAAATTTATTATCTATATCAATGATTACAATATAACATTACATGCAAAAATTATAAATTTAAAAATTCAATAAAAATAATAATCACATTATATGTCAATGATTAATAATTTTTTATTTGTTATTAATAATTATATTTTATTATATTGATAATTTTGAATAATTTTTCTTTTAGATATCAAATAATGTTTTATATAAAGCTATACAAAATAGAAAACCAACTGCTATGGATATTGCAGAACTTGATGAAGAATTATTACATCATCTTCAACCAATATGTTCAAAGTTGAATTCATTTTTGACAATTCCTATACAACATTCTAAACAGAATCATATAGCTTTACTAGTTTCTTTAGTTGACAATGATATTAAAAATGAAATTACATGTAAATGTGCAACGGTGCAAGAATGTTTTAGGTAATTATTTTTTTTATAATATTAAACAAAATTTTTTAAATTACAAAAATTATATAATGTTAAAATATTATCTTTTTCCAATATATTTAAATATTTTTTCTTTAATACAGATTTTGTCTAGGATTTCTTCTAAATTCATTTACATGTTATGAGGAAACTCGATTAAAACACCAATGTCAAAAACTACTTGCTGTTTCTAGAAAACTTTTTGTACATTTAGGTAATATTATCATAATTAAAGTAATTAATACTGAACTAAAATCATATTTATTAAATCTTACATATTAATAAATAGGAGAATTTTCTGATCTATTAAGAGAAATAATGGCTGAAGCCAGAAATCTAACAAATGCTGAACGTTGTTCTTTATTTTTATTGGATCCTGATCAACAAGATCTAGTTGCCAAAGTGTTTGATGGTATTGCTATGAAAGAAGTGAGTTTATGAAACATTATCTGTCATAAGTAAAATTAAGAGGATAATTATTTTTAGTCTGAAATGAGAATACCAATAGGACAAGGCATAGCAGGTCATGTTGCAACTAGTGGAAAAGTGCTTAATATTAGAAATGCATATGAACATCCTTTATTTTATCGTGGTGTAGATGAAATAACAGGCTTTAAGACTAGAAATATTTTATGTTTTCCAATTACAGATGAAACTGGAATTGTAGGTAAATAAAAATTATTTTATATAAGTAAAAAAATTAAATTTTCTATTTTTTTTAAACTGAAAAGTTGTAATCATAGGAGTTGCACAGCTTTGTAATAAAAAAGATGCATTATACTTTGATGCTTTTGATGAAGAAGTTGCAACAGCATTTAGTATTTATTGTGGTATCTCTATAATGCATAGTATTGTTTATAAAAAAATGCAAGATGCTCAAGCACGAAATAAACTTAGTAACGAAATAATGATGTATCATATGAAGGTAAAACTTTGTTAAAACGTATAGAATTTTTTGTCCTTTTATTTTTTGCAAAATTTGCATGTAGGTGGAAGAAGATATTGTTCAAGAAATATTGCATTGTAAGGATGAACATAATATAAAAGATTTTAATAAATTTGAATTTAGTCCTAGATGTGTACCTTATAAACATATGCCTTGTTATACAATCAAAATGTTTAATGACTTAGGTCTTATTAAGTATTGGAAGCTGAAATTATCAACTTTGACAAGGTAAAATTTTAAAATTTTTTTATAAAATTTTTAACAAAATTGACATGACAAAAATAAATATTCATATAAATGTCACAGATTTATATTATATGTAAAGAAAGGATATAGAGATGCGCTATATCATAACTGGGTACATGCATTTTCTGTAGCACATTTTGGATACTTATTAATACAAAATTTAAATCTTATTAATGAGAATTATATGACGCATATGGAAGCTTTAGTATTTCTAGTATCTTGTTTATGTCATGATATAGACCACAGAGGAACAAATAATTCATTTCAAACTAAGAGCTCTACAGTTCTAGCTAGTCTTTATAGTTCTGAAGGTTCTGTAATGGAGGTAAGTTGCCTTTAAGAAAAATGTTGCAATAAAAATTGTACATCAATGTAACATTAATGCAATTTATTATTCTCTTATTTAACAGAGACATCATTTTGCACAGACTATGTGCATTTTAAATAAAGAAGGTTGCAATATATTTGAAAACTTTAATAGCGAGGAGTATGGTCAAGCATTAGATCTACTAAAAAATAATATACTCGCAACTGATTTAGCATGTCATTTTCGGATGATGAAAAAACAAAAAGAAATGATTAGAGATAAATTTGATAAAACTGACTCTGAACACAAGAAATTATTTATCCATATGCTTATGACATGTTGCGATCTTAGCGACCAAACTAAGCAGTGGAAAGTTTCTAAGAAAACTGCAGTAAGTAGAAATTTAAATCTAAATAAATTCCCTAAAAATTTATAAGCATTTATAAATACTTTTTTCTTTACATTAGGAAGAAATTTATGATGAATTTTTTTCACAAGGAGATTTAGAAAAAAGTATGGGTAGTTCTCCTATAGAAATGATGGATAGGGAACGAGCATCTATACCAGACTTACAAGTTCAGTTTATTACAGATATAGTCCTTCCACTTTTTATGTAAGTATGTATTATGTATATTTCGAAAGAATGTCTTTGTACAATAAAGACTTTTTTAATTAAGGACAGTGATATTTTCAAAACATTTCTTTTGAAAAGATAGTATATACATAAATTTTGTTTTCATTTAGTTTTCTATATTATTTATTTTATTATCTTTGTCCTTAGTAATCTCTCTATATTATTTCCAATGGTACAATCACTTGTTGATGTGCTGAAAGAAAATCGAGCTTTGTGGGAAGTGTCTAAAAATATATTTCAAAAATACATGGAAGCAGGAATGAAAGGTATTGCTATTCTATTGGATCCTACCTTTGAAGAAGAAGTATTACAACTTTACACTCAAAATAATACAAATTGTTCAAGAAATTCTACTAAATTAGAATTACACAAAAAAACAAATAGTAGTAGCATATGATAGAATAGATACGTAATATTTTTACCATGAATTTAGAAATTTTTAGGATATAAAAATTCAAAAGCAATAGAAAAAGGCCTACTATATGAATTTAAAAAATTTGTTTATTAAAAGAACGCAGGCGTTCTAAAAATATTTATTATAAAATTATTGTATATTAAAATGTTACTTATATTTATTATAGAGTATGTATATCTATATATGTTATGAATTATAAATATTTTATTCTTTAAAAATATGTTTCTTAAATATGTACCTACTTAATATTTATTCAACACTTGTTTTTGATATATTATTTATTTTAATTGGTGGAATTCACACGAAAAACATGTATATTGTATGTAATATAAAATAACTTATAAGGATAATTTATGTAATTTAAAAGATTATTTTATGATTGTAATAATATATCAAAGTGTTAATGTTTTTATTAATAATGTATTGAGTAATATAAAATTTATGTTTACATAGCTGGATTTGTATCCTCTATTTTATAAACTCTATTTTCTTAAATATTAAAAGTTATATAAATTTATAAATTGCAATTCATTTTGCTTTATCAATTAGTATTACATAAAATATACTATATTTATACAACTTTGTTATTGATTTTGATTTTAATAATCAAGTTATGAATATTTTAAGGAATAATTATGTTAAGTATAATATAAGTATTTACATTTTATCATAGTATTATATAATATAATATTATATAACATTCTATAATATGTATATAAACTGTGAAGTAAGTTGTAGCATATAGATAGGCTTTCAAATAATTGATATATTCTATATTAGAATTCTACTTCATAAAATTATTCCCAAAAAATCATATCGGATAAAGACAGCTACATACTTAGTAAAGTAACATTGTATTTAAAGTATCAGAATGTATAAAAACCAAATATAGTATTACATACCATATTACTCACTAAATTACTAAATTAATAAACATACATAAAAAAGTAGAATGGTTTAATTCTAAGTTAAATATACAATTAAAAATAAGTTGTATATTTAAAAAAAAGAATTATATTAATTTATTGCGTTCAGAATTCTACAAAATTTATTTATTTAGTTATAGTGCAATTTTATTATAGTGAAAGTTAAATCATTTTATTTTAAATTAAAATATAATATAATTGATATCTTCTTTAACCAATCAAATCACATTGAACGTAATTTATACTCTAGAGAAAAATGGCGCGCCCGGGAGAATAGGGGGCGCTAAATGCAGTGATTCAAATTAAACTGGAAAGTCGTTATGTATTTCTGAGGGGCAAAACTTACACGATCCCGCCTGTGACGCGAAATGGTGATTATCGTTAAAGTTTTCTCGTCTTCCATGCATTTTATCATTGGAAGACACTGATTTCTGTGGTTTGTTTATGTTAGTTGTAAAAGTTTATATTTACTATTTTTCAGTTTTATGCAATCATAAAAGGTAAGTAAATATATTAATAAATATTTTATGATTTATTTAATTTATTTGTTTTATTACTTTTCATTATAATTTAAATTTGTTATATTTTTATTATAGTATTTTGATACTTGTTTAATGTAACAATAGGTACATAAATTTATTGACATTGACATAATTGTAAATTTGATTATAGATATTGATAAAGTTAATAAAGTTTAAGTAATAAAATCAGAATTATTAAAGAGGTTTATATATAATATATATAATGTATTTTAATTATGATATAACATAATTCTTGAAATTATATACAATTAAATAAAATTTTATTATTTTACTGTTTTATTATTGTTTTAAATAAGTATTTTTTTATGAAGAATAATTTATATACACTCTTAAATTATATGATAGTTTTATAATAATTTCATAATGTATGTTTTAAATACTTAAATTTAATTTTTTTACAGATTTTAAATATGGGTACTAGATCAAAGGATAGGATTAAAACAATAATTTCCAAGGAAATATTAAATATACATAATTATTCCTTAGATGTTCAGAAGTCTGTTAAGAACAGTTTAGAAGATACTTTAGATTACTTACGTAGTTTAATTTCTCAAATACCAGAGTCAGCTTCTGGACCTTTAATTACAAAAACACCAAAAGTTCCAAGGAAAAGAGACATTCAACGTATTGAAACTATTCCAGAAAATGATGTTATGATTATTGACAATACAGTATCAAATTCTACTATAATACAGGATAAAACTGAGATTGTAGAAGAAATAGTAATTGGTCGAATTAAAAGACAAGCTTCAAAGAAAGCTGCAGATAATATTAAAAAACAGCAATCATTATCACTTAGTACTAAATTACGAAGACCAACAACTCCTGTTGATAATAATAGAAATGTTTGTATCATATATTGCCTATATTTTACCTCTAATTATTAATATATTGAATTTTATTGCTTAATATAAATATAGATAATAATTGTCTCATAATGTTATGAAATATATTTTAAATTTTTAGAGCAAACGTGAAAGCCGATTTAAAAGGAAGAAAAGTCCTAGAAACAGTTCAGATGAAGAAAGCATGCAAGCTCCCACAAAACATAGTAAAATAGAAGAGAATATTTTAAGTGAAACTATATCAAAGAAAATTGCAGACACAAATTCAGATAATCATCCCTCTATAAAAGATCATCTTTCTGTAAACGATGTAATAACAGAAGAAAAAATAGAACCATTAAGATCTTCAATGACAACAAGAAGCCATAGTAATAGTAGAAAGAGAACTTTATCAGAAAATGGAAACATAAAGAATAAAAATTCTAATATCATTGATGATACAGTAATTGCACCAACAGGAAATGATATTGAAGAACCTTCAATATATGAAGATGCAATTGGAAAACCTACTCCTATTATGAATTCTACAATGAATCTAAATTCTACTTTTTCACAAAAAATGATGAATGCTACTGTAGTTTTAGAACCTCTATCAGCAATAAAATTAAACGAAACTGTAACAATTAATAAAAAATTGGTGGATAGCATAAAAAAGAGTAATGAACAAAAAATAACTGAGTCAAAAGCTGAATTTAAACCTCCCAAATTACCTAATTTGAAATCACGTTCGTCTATAATTTTGCAGGATAAAATGCAACAGCTAAAAAAAGCAATGGCGAACCAAGAATTTGATGAATTATTTACAGATGACCAATCATCTCCTGAAGCGACAAAGCCAAAGGGAAATATTAAGAAACAAGAAATTAAAAAACGAAAAATGAAACGTCAAATCGGATCATTGCCATCAAGTGAGGATGAAATACTTAATACTCCACCAAAACCAACTTTGAAGCAAATGAATACAGTTACAGGATTCCAAGAAGTAAAAAATATATATAAATCGAATGCTTTATTCAGTCCATATGCCAAGGAATCAGTGAAAAAAAGAGTCGAGGCATTTGAGCAGGCAGGTAATACTCCAAAACTCACTGTGGATGTTGATGCACCTAGAATAACTAGAACAAAAACACGTGCTAAAGCACGTGCAGAGAAAGAAGCTTTAGAAAATGCAAATATAGCAGAAAAAGCCGTTACTCAAAAATTAGCACGGAAATCGCTTGCAAAAGCTAAGAAAATTTCATTAGCAAAACAGACTAAGGATATAAACGATAAAGATAAAGAGGTAGTTAAAATTATTATAATAATAAAGTATTTGTGAATTTCTTTATCAATTACAAATTCAATTATATTTCCAATTTTATTTTTAGAATAAGTTGCATTCAGAACAAAAGATTAGTAAATTAATTTTTGAAAAAATAAATTGCAAACAACAACAGAAGACGACTCCATTAAGCAAAGCAAAATCTCAGTTGCCAATGTCTGTTAATCGTATTCCTCATACTCCAGCAAATCAAATTAATGTGAATGTAAGAATTATTTTTTTCTAATATTAGTATTTTGTTTTATATATTAGTATTTCATATTTTATATTTCATATTTTTAAAAAGTAATATTTTAATTTTAGCCCAACAAAGCTTTAAGTGTCACTCGTTCAAATATCATTACATCGGTGGAATCTTTAATTCCAACTACAAAATTAATGAATAAACGTAATTCATTGGATAAAATGGATGAAAAGAGAAAAAAATTGAATGATGAAGATGCGAGGAAAAAACGAGAAGAAGCATTAAGGCTCCAAACGGAAGAAAAAAGAAGGTAAAGTAGAATTAATCAAAATGCTATATTTTATTTAATTTTAAATCAATAGATATGTTACTGAAAGATATGTAAAATTTTACACAAAGGAAAAGGCAAGAAAAAGAATTAAGAAATAAATTAGCTAGAGAGGCAAAAGAAAAACAAGATATGGAAAAACGTCAAAGAGCTGAAAAAGAAAGAGAAGAAAAAGCACGATTAGCACAACAAATGCAAGAAAAACAACGCGAAGAAATGGAAAAGAAACGTTTAGCTCAATTACAACGTGCCCAGGTATGAATTCAATAGTTTAAAATAAAATAAATCTGTATAAAAATAAATATCGAAATTGATCTTTATGTAGTTTAGAAAATTAAGTTACAGTCAGATTAATTTGTAGGAAAAGGAAGAGAGAAGGAAACAAGAAGAACAACAACGTTTACAACGTTTACAAGAACAAGAAGAAGCGGAACGTATATTAGCTGAACAAAGACGTCGCGAACAGGAAGCTGAAAAGCGAAAAGAAGCTGAACAACGAGCCCAACATCAAGCTGCAGCTGAAGCAATAAAAGCTAAGCATCAGATGCTTATGTCACAGGTAAAATGACAAACATAAGCAAATATACTGCTACATACATCTTATTATTCATTTAATATTTTAGATAAAATATGGGAACAAACATCAGGGTCCAACCACTTATGTTTTGGATAGTGAACCTGATGACGATGATTCAGATGATGAATCCAAACCAAAACATATAATTCCATATTGGGCACAATGTAAGTATGCTTTTTGATGCGTTAACAAACATTAGAATGTCTAGAATACTTGAATTTCCATTAATTTTAGCGCACGTTCGCAAAGTTCAACTTGCCATGCAACGATACATTCCGGAGAAAGCAATTTATAAATTCTTTGACACCAAGAAATGTACACCAGATTTAACTCAAATGTTTCAAGGTATAGATAGGAGTAGATTAAAACGTACATCCAGTGCAATCTGGAAAACACCACCACGTTATTCCATGATGGGAGTCGAATAAAAGATATACTTAATTTGTTAAATATGTTGTTGATTTCGTATTGTGTCTGAGAACAAGAATACTTGATTTTGCATGATATTTTGCACATGTGATACCGAAATGATGTTACATTGTAATTATCATTGAAACAGTATGCATGATTTTTTAATATAACGAATCAATGAATATATGTTATTTTTATCATATCAATCAAATTTTATCATTTTTTCTTATTTATATATATCTTATCACATTAATTGCAAAAAGGACACCCGTAATTGAGTTAGTCATTAATAATTGATAATAGTTAATAATAATTAATAATGATAATAATGATAATGAATATATTAGTACGACTTTTTAATGAGAAGTAAATTTTATTGAATATTGTCATCATTATTGTGTATTGTATAATTTCTAGCCTTTTTCTTTTCTTTTAAAAAATTTATTAAAATACGCATGACATTATTAAGATATTAATATATATAGTTTGCTTTTATCTTCCTTTGTACGTGCAGTGATTTCATGATCACAAATGCATTTTTTAAATAGAAAATTATTATAAATAATATCATATATTATTAATAGTAATTAATAATTGAAACAAATTACATCAATTCTTTTTGTTCTTGTAAAAGTGTTGGTAATTTTGGTGTTTGAATGATTTCCAAAGGTCTTAATTTTAAGTGCGTGTATATAGGTATCTGTAATAATATTCTTATTGAACTATGTGTTTTTGACAAATTATTTTTGCGATAAACAAAATAAGATAATTAGATATAAAAATGTTTACATATGGTAAAGATGTATCTAAAATTGGTTGATCTGCAAGGATCATTAGAACTGATTTATCCATCATAGCAATAGTAAGCCTTTGCCCATTAATCATAGTATGCTCAGGTTTCACAATTTCTTTTAATTCTTCATGTTTAAGGTCTGGTTCATGTCTGATACCTCCTTCGAAAATCTTTTTATGTAAACAGTCCAATTTAATAATCAAATTTTCTTTGTAATTTAATAATTGATTTATTGCATGTGAAATTAATTACTTTCAGTGTAGTAGAACTGGCGACTCTTTTAATATCCGGTGGATATCTGTAATCTTTAAAATATTGATATGTTGGGATCGTTGGTAAAATTGTTGACCAAGGCTTAAAAGTTCCAAGGGTTGAGATGTAACGACCACCAAATGTCCACAAGCGTACAGAATGATCTGTACTACCACTTAAAATTAACAAAAAGAATTGCATAAATTGTATAAAATATATTAGGGAAATAATTGTTTTAAAGAAAAAGATTAAGAAATGATAAATTCAAAAATAATATATTTTTATATTAATAATAATTATATTATAATAATTATAGTAAATATAGGTTTATAATTCATAAAATAATAAGTACTATATTAATGTTAATTACCTAATAATAATGCGTGCATCTGGAATTATTTGGATGGATGTAATTGATTTTAAATGCCCATGTATAGATGAAAGTAAAAGTGGTAAAGGTTGATCTCTTACTGCTCTTTTTGCTCTGCCAGTAATTTTTTTTTTCCATAAAAATGGAAATTCCAACCGTAAAAGAGGCATAGATATCTTAGGAGGATTCGGCAACAAATAATTTGCCAGATACCAAACTTTAATATATCCAGCATTATGTCCTAAATTTTTTTAAATGAACTTGTTCTTCAATTATATTTTTTTGATTTTATCTTTTCTTTTATATTAAACTTTTTGTTGCAGTATTTATATCAGTATTTTTATCACAAAAGATAAATTTACAATAAATAAATTATAAATATTAAATATATACTTTCTTTACCCGTTACGAGAAAGTGATTTTTAGGGTCGGTTGCTAATGCTAATGCACAATCGTATACAGAATGAATAACTAAGAAAGCTTGTAGAAATCCACCAGCAGGATGATGAGTCCATACTTGTATATATCCTGAATCAAGAGAAACTAACAATGTTCCAATATTAGGTCCAACTGGTCGGGCATTTAAAAATATCACAGCTCGCACAGCAACAAATCGTGTAATATTCAATGCAGATTCTTGATATTTAGAAACCATCGCATGTTGACTATAAATATTTATTATAAAAAATTTTTTTTGTGCAAAGCCACAAGTACAACATAAATAAATAATTACCTCTGTTTGGAAGTGAATGTTATAATCTCTTTAGGTTTTCTTATTTCATATGTTTTTTCATTCTTATGATATCTTATCCTAAATCTTTATAATTAAAAAAATAAATAAAATTTATTGATTAGTTAAAATCGCTCTTTACAGTAAATTATTTCTAAAATTGTAATTTTTATATTATTTTAACATTTTATTCTAGATCTTACCTTGACATTGGTTCATTAACTTTATATTTTCGGTATGGTTGACCTGTTTCTAGTCTCCAAAGTATTATTTCTCCATTAAAAGTTGCCGTAGCCAATACTTGAGGGTACCACATGGCTGAACAAAGAATATCATCAGTATGGATTATTCCCCAATCTTTTCTAAATACATATGCGTCAGAAGTTGCAAATTCTACGACTTGACGATTCCAACTACTACATAAAATTCGATTTTCCAGCCAAACTAAACTGGTTACTTCGCTATGCATAATGAAAGAAATTTATAGGAAATACATTTTTAAATCTTATTGATGGAATATTTAATACTTATTAGGAAGTATTTTAATTTTAATATGTGATAAAAAAAAAAATAGAAATAGATAGAAAATAACAAAATAAGTACATGTAATAAGTACCATTGAGTTTCAAGTGTCATATTTCGTAAACAAGTGCCAGTATTAAAATTCCATATTTTTAATGTTCCATCACGAGCACCTGACACTAATAATTGTTCAGACTCATCGAAACAAGCAGCAGTGATTTCAATGTCATGAAACTGACCATATAAGAATCTACTGTGTGCATGAGTTACTAAGAACAAACGATTTCCAAGCCATGGATCCCAAACTATTATACAAGAATCTAATCCAGTTGTAACTACCTAAATTCATAGACGATCCGATAAAATATTGGATTTCTAGCGCAGGAAATAAAAATTATATAAAGCATTAAAAAACTACCACTTTGTAGAGATGATTATACAAAACACAGCTGATAGGCTTTGTGTGTGTAAAACCGTCAGATATTTCTTTGTTGACTTCAGGATCGCAAATGATCACAGCAATCATTGAACTAGCAATAATCATTTTGCGATTCAATGTATTATATATTACAGACATTGATATATATTCACCTAATTCACTAGGGAGGCCATTGTACGTCTGTATAAAACAAATTTAAATTCGAATTATATACTATACATTTATATTTATATATTAATTAATGCTAATTTTTCATTTTTATAAATGAAATATATTAATTAAGAAAAATATTTTTTAATAAAGTATGTTATTATTAAAAACCTGAATACAAGACTGAGCTAATACATCCCACACTTTGACACATCTATCTTTTGAAAGAGAATACACGCGTTTACCATCTTGTACAATTAAAGCGCAAATAGGCGCACGATGACCTTGAAAAGTACTATTTGCTCTTCTGGTCACGAAAGGGTTCCAAACCCGAACTACACAGTCCGGTCCACCAGTTATTAATAATTGACCCTCTATATAATTATAATTATAATTATAATTATACATTTAAAAAGTATAATGTACATGTAAAAAAGTTTAAGAAAAGAATTTGAAAAAGAATAAAAAAATTTTTATTCTTTTTAAAAAATACCTTCGCAAAATGTGAAACAGGATATACCCATGTTAACTTTAAACCTGTATTGAATCCTAGCTCCTGTGAGATCACTGAATAATAAGGAACAACTATTGCATTTACTACTGGACATAAAAGCTCTTAAACTTCCGTAATAAGCTACTTGCAATACCCAGTCTGTATGTACATTCTTAAATTCTAAAACCTTTAAACCTTTTAGTTCACCCTATAATTATATAACACATATATATAATTATATAACACATATATATAATTATATTATAACAATATAACAAATATTATAACACGTATATAATTATATAACACATTACAAATTTATCTATTTGTCTTAGATAATGTAGCATATGAAAATTTAAATTCCAAAAATATTTCAAAATTCTCAAATTTTACGAGTATTAGATTAAATTTAAAAAGTATTAGAATTATCCAATATCTATAATTTTTCTCTTTTTGTGTATACTTATTCCATATTAATGACAAACTTTCAAAGATAAATTATTTGCCTTCAAGACAGATTCATAACGAATAAATAAAGTATCACGTTGAGGTTCTTGTTTAAATGGTCCTCTTTCTATTGGACTAAAAGACATAACTTTGACAGATCCATTCATATCTCCAAGCACAATATATGAATCTTCTTTAATATTTTTACTAAAATAATAATCCATACAAATGACTGCATTGTCCAAGCCAGATATCTAATTGTACAAGATTTTAACGCTGAAGAATTTATTAAATAATAAATAACGCCTATTTAAGAAAATATAACCATTATTCGAAGATCAAATTTCTTTGCTGCTGTATCATAAAATCTTAGATCACATTCAGTAGAACTTGTGCATACTATTTGTATATCAGGCAATACTATCATATCGGTTATTAAAGTCTGTTGTACTTTTAAATATGCTGAAAAGATAGAAGTTTCGAAAATAAATGCAGGTATTATAGGACATTATAAAATATGAAATTACTAACGATTTACAGATTGCGCGCTACGTTCGTATTTTAAATCCAAAGTCCAGTAATTTATGATACCTTCTTTAGTTATAGTTAAATAAAATCCTCTGTGAAAACTCGCAGTTCTATCCTATCGATACATGAAAGATTATAATTAGCAATGTGTATATATCAAATATATTTATCAAAGATATATCACGTACAGATAAAACTTCAGGGCAAAATATGATTTTGTGTATAGCTGTACGATGATTTGATTTCAAAAGTTGAGGAGTATCAGTTATTGGAAGTCTCAACATTTGCCATTGTAATGTAGTATCTTTCTTTTGAAATTCTACTAATAAATACGAAATAAATTCATTCCAGGTAATATTTCCATCTCTCTTCAAATTCATCTAAAATTAATCAACAGAAACAAATTTTATATATTAAAAAGTATATAATAACTAAAAATTAGAATAATAAATCTATAATATTACTTTTTTAAATAAAATTTTAAATTCATCATATGGCATTCGAATGTGTAATATATTTTCAAATGCGTCATATAATTGGGTTATATCCATCTCTTCATTTGGTGAAATCTACAGAAAATAAAAATTATTATAGTAATTACTAAAGCGTATATGCGAGAGATAAAGATATCAAATTTCGAAATTATAAATTGTAAATTATACCACTTCATATTATGTTAGTAATATTTGTTTAAAACTTTTTAAAAAATATTTTAATTCTTTCTCAAATTCTCAAGTACCAAAAATGCTTCATGCAGTTGCTTGAAGGATTCTTCTGTGCATTGTTCTTCTATATTTTTTGTTTTAAAAAACTCATCAAAAGCTTGTTGGATGCTAATGAAGAAAGATGAACACGTATATAATATAATACAACAAGAAATTAATTCTATAAAATATTTTGAATATATACTAACTTGTTATCATTGTCACGAAAATATTCCATTTTTATAATTATTTAAATTATAATATGAATTGTAATGTCAATTACAAGATATATATAATATAAATAAAAATGATATGAAAATAAATTTCCTTTGTTAATTTCCTTTTTGACATATACAAAACAAACTAAATGTATAAGATAGTACTTTGTTATTTTTAAAGTATCTTTCATTTATGTAAAAATTAAATTATTTCAAGAAATATTTTGTTAATATGAATGAATAGAATAAAAGATATTATTTAATTATTATTATGAGAAATGATATCATAGACATATTTTATGATAATATAAAAACAATTAACTGTTTTCTATAAAATTTACTATAAATTCTAATTTTACACAAAATATAGAAATATATGTTGTTTTATCCCCTAATCTATACTCTATGTGTACCTAGGGTTATAAGCAGGTTAATCAATATCTTCATGCATGTAAATTTTGCATATTTCCATTATATAGTAAGATATGTTAAATACAATAGTATAGTTTGATGAAATTTATTATAAATTTCTCTTCAGATTTAATGAAAAAGTTTATTAAGCTTTTTATTAAATTATGGAGTTATTTAAAGCTCTAAACTTATTCAATCAAGGAAAATATGAAGACTGTGTAACAATATGTACAAATTTATTAAAAAAAAATCCTCTTGATCAGGTACAAGTATGTTTAACATAAATTTGAAATAACAATTTACATTTCTATAAAAATATATTTTTTCATTATATAGACTGTATGGGTTTTAAAAATGCGTGCCTTAACATTACAAATATATGTAGATGATATAGAAGGAGAAGAAGAAGGAATTGCTGAAAGTTTATTAGATAATTATACAATATCTTCTATGCCTAGACCAGGAACATCTTTAAAAAACCCTGGTACTTCTTTCACTGGACAATATCTTCGACCTAAAACTCAATCAGGTTTGAAACTCCAATAATTTAAAGCAATCGAACATAAAATGAAGTTGTAACAATAAAATTTAATAGTAGAAATTTAAAGGTAGACCACTTACTGGAGTTGTACGACCAGCTACTCAATCTGCTATGTCTCAATCAATTGAGCAAACTTTAAGAACACCAAGAACTGCTATGACAGCTAGACCAATTACTGCAAGTTCTAGTCGTAGTGTTAGGTATAATTATTAGGTTTAATATTGTTTTATATTTTGTAACACAATTGTAATTAAAATGTTCAATTATTACTCATTTAAAATTAAAATGATTATATTACATAGATTAGGCACAGCATCCATGTTAACAGAACCAGGAGGACCTTTTATACAATTATCACGATTAAATATTTCTAAATATGCTAGTCAACCATGTATTGCAAAACCATTATTTGAGTATATATATTATCATGAACATGATGTAAGATACGTAAGTAAACATACTTGTATTATTCAATATTTGTAGATGATTAGAAATATTAATATTATAATTAATACTTTTACTATAATTCTATTAATTGTTACTATATATATAGGCATTAGATTTAGCAGTTCAAGCAACACAAGTTTGTCAGTATAAAGATTGGTGGTGGAAAGTACAACTTGGAAAATGTTATTATAGTTTAGGGTTAATCAGAGATGCGGAACAACAATTTAAATCAGCATTAAAAGATTCTAAAACTATTGAAGTGATCCTGAGACTAGTTAGAGTTTATGTTAGACTTGATCAACCATTAACAGCTTTAGAAACATGTAGAAAAGGTCTTGAGTATTTTTCTAATGACGTGAATATTCTTACTGAAATGGGACGTATATTTGATAGTTTGAATAATATGAGCATGTCGTTAAAGTATTACAAAATAATTGCTCAAGAAGATGCTTCTCATACAGAAGCAATAGCAAGTATTGGAATACATCATTTTTACAATGATCAACCTGAATTAGCTTTACGATATTACAGGTAAGTACAAATTTAAATAAATAGAAATAATTGAAAATATAACTTAAGCTTTTTGAATAGACGATTATTACAAATGGGGGTATATAATGCTGAATTATTTAATAATCTTGGTTTATGTTGCTTTTATGCTCAGCAATATGATCATGTTATATCTTGTTTTGAGAGAGCAATTAGTCTTTCTACTGATGAAACTATGGCAGACATATGGTATAACATTTCACACATTGCCCTTGTATGTATACAGTTTCTTTTAATATCTAAGTTTTTAA